AGCGAAAATATCATCAACATTTTCAATAGGACAATTATGTCTCATTAAGCAAATACAACTCAAGGTTGTTTTCTGTCCAGCTTTAAACTGATAACCATAGAAGATGCCTGCAGTATATTCTTATTATTAAAGAATTATCAAGTCAGCACCAATCAAAAAGTGAGGAAACAGACAAAAAGGCAAGGAAAAGTTATCCTACAATATTTAGGGTGCCTACTAGTTGCTGTTGTATAGTCAATGACTATGTAGATGTTATTGTAACACAGATGTTAATTGCTCTTTAGCTTCTGTTAAACTAAATATGTGATTTAAACATTCTTCAATTGTCTCAAGCATGTTGGATCAGGTTCGATAATGTTAGACGGTGCAGACAGAAATCCACAACAAGCTTGAACATGGTCAAACAAATGTATGATGATGTTTTGAACAAATGTATGATTGTGTAGACCGGGCTTCAGGCTGCAGTGGAATACATTTCAGAATATAAACCCAAAGTTTTACCATAAGTTTAAAAAAGAAATCTCACTGCTATTCAGTGAATTTACCCACCTTCGGAGCTGATTTCTGGGCCACAGATTCTGAAAATAAACCACGTCTAGCTGTTGAGTTGTTTTCTTTACTTCTATGACTGGGACTATAAGTTCTATTGGTTGATTCAGAAGCTGCTAAAACTAATTTAGCTGTTCGTGTTAGTTCTGAACTACCATTTTCACTGGTTGATGATAATTTTAACAATTTCTCCTTTAATACTCTTTCATCTGGTTCCCTGAACAAAATCGAAACAACCACGTAATCAGACATGAGTAAAAACTGAAACACTCCATATTTGGGTGGTTTTTTTCTGTTTGGTATTCAATAATTTCATAAGTGACATACTGAATTGATATAGGGTCACAAAAATAATGTTTCTCTGACAAAATATTTCTGATCAGTCCATCAACTAATATTTCAGTTTCCAATCTGGAATCAGACAGGGGAGAAGTAGAAAAGAGGTGATATAGGAAAGGTACAATTCACAAAAATAATGTTTCTCTGACAAAATATTTCTGATCAGTCCATCAACTAATATTTCAGTTTCCAATCTGGAATCAGACAGGGGAGAAGTAGAAAAGAGGTGATATAGGAAAGGTACAAAATGGACAAATTGGGAAGGGGCAAAATGGGAATAGATTTGGGATGAAACAGAGCGATATGGGAAGTGGGAATACACTAAACTATGCAAAATAGAAATTTTAAACAAGAATTCCTGTTTTAATATTTTTATCACAGAAGAGTATGAAAACTGTACCTGTCTTTTTTGGAACCAAAGAAATGTGATTTGATCATTTTAACCCGTCCATTGTCATCTAAGGGAGACAACCCCGATTTAGGTTTTTCAATATACACTGCTGCAGCTGATTTGATCTTTATAAAAGACAAACCAAACTGAACATCTTTACGATAGGGTTGTCGTAAGATTAATTTGATTCGATCCCATTTCTCTCTGACTACAGTATCAATAAACTCTTCTGAAAAATATCAATACCATTACATATTCTACATGCTAGAAAATCTTCAGAAAACTATTTCAGCCTAAGTTCATATTCAGCAATATACCTTCATATTAAAATGTTGGCATATGAAGACAAAATTAACCCTCCTAAATCATTGTAAATTAGAGAAGATTCTTACCTTTAGAAAACATCCTAGTTTTGTTGATGTTTTGTTTGAGTCGACAGTCTATAGGAGACATTAAACTAGCAGTAGGACAGAGAGTCAGATATTGTTTATCTTGAGGCCAATCTGATCTTCCAACTTGTATCTCTATTGTACTACACCATATTGTACCTGCAATGTTAATATACAGTAATCCAAAACAAAGTTTGAAAGTTTGATGTAAATCTGGAAAAATCTCACAACCATCTAACAATAAAATTTGTCGTTAAAGTGAAATTTTACACAAGAAATACCATACTTTGTTTTTTTTTTGTGAAACATGAGACAGAGGCAGTAACATGGGATATCAAAAAACTGTGTCAACTCTTAGGTTTTCAAAATAAGATTCTCAATGAACCACTTTTTTATTACATTTTATGCATTTTCGAATCAATTTCATGTTTTATGAAATTTTGAATGAACTGTTAATTCAATTCTTATTCTTACCAACGTCAATAAAGGCTACTTTTAAAAAATCCTCCAACTGAAAGATGGCTTCTATTTGCCCTGTTTTTTCTTTACTATTTGACAGCCATTTTTGACATCCATCACCGTTGATAAGATTCTGGACTTTATGGACCTCATCCTACAGTAGTAAATGATAATCAACAGTTAAATCAAACATCATGAAAATTAGGGCTGCCATGATTCACCTCATCCAATAAATGAATCATGATTATTATCT